CCCCAAAACCCCAAAACCCCAAAACCCCAAAACCCCTTTTAATTGAATAGTAAGAATCATTGAAATTGGTTTATGAAAAATAATCGCAATATCAAGTCATTTGTACGAAATTCATATGTCCAGTCTTGCTTGCGTGATCCATTGCATCATTTTGGCCAGTCAGGCCTTAAAAACAAATTCCACATTGCAAACTAAATTTGCTTGTGTCCGTGTATTATTTCTTAGAATTCAAAAGCTTTGCAAGTTTTAAGCTCTCCTACAATGTTTATTCATCACTTGGACTAAATACTCTAATCTCTGTATTCTCACTAATTTATTCAAATAAATCGGTAAAATTACTCCTTATTTTCGAGGAAGTTCTTGACACATAAATCATAATGTATACCTGAGTAGATCAAATAAATCCTCTAGCTATAACCCTTGCCCTGAAAAGATGTAATCTTCAATTAATAAGCTTACCTGACCAAAAATATCATATCTAATGTTGATTATATCAACTGCTACTATTTCACATTCTAACTAATCTGCAAATATCATCAGTTCGATTGCACCACCCCAACTATTCTACCCACTAATAAATTAAGCGTACTCCTCAGGACTTTTCCCTAAAATAGCTTCATTGAAATTAATGGGATCACTTCGTACTATCTTTGCTATAACTTCTCTAAGCTTGCTAGATTCATTAAGACTGCATTTCAGAGCTAATCCAATGCAATTAAATAAACATGAATCATCAGCTTTAATTATTCTCCTATACATAAACATTCCATCACTTGTAGTTATCACATAGTTATCCAGTATTTCTTATTTATTTTAAACCAATTATTCCTACTGGATTTATTATTAGGGCATTTATTGCTACTCTTAGACTATTTATTTTTATGGTTTGATATCTGCCATAACCTGTTGTTCACTTGTATTTTGAGTAGCAACTACTTGAGTTCATCTAAGCCAATCTTCTGAAGTTAAATGCAAAGTTTCTCTATTTTTAATACCTAATTCCTTCAAAGTCATCCCACTATTTTAATCTATTTCCTTGGGTGGAAATCCTCTCTTAAGCACTAGGGGTTTCCCTGCATAAACTTTATATATTTTAATAACTATTCTAGAAATTACCTATTTCTTTGTCAAGAAATTTTATGAAATCTTTAATTTACATTGAGAGATTGACATTTTCGAAAATTCTCTCTCCTTTTGGCTGTAATCTTATTTGGAGAGTTGCTCCAGTAGTAGCCTCCATTATATTTATTCAATTTAAAGTTTATTATTTTAACCTCAAGTTAGATATTATTAAAATCTATAAAAATAAATGAAGAAGATTTTATCATATATTTGGAAGTCCCCAGATAAGAGACGTGTGATTTATCTCCCAATAAACAAAATCGATATAAAGGCTAAAGAAAAGATAGATTAAGCACTCAAGAATGTGAATGAAGGAAATACTGCAGCAATATTGTTGTCAATTAATACTAAACTTCCAAATAGCTCTCACTCGCTAGTGTATGCGGATTAGATTGGAGAAAATCTTATGAATAAAACTTAAGCAATTGGAAATGGAGTGAAACTTATCACTTATGCAGAAGATACATGTCTTGGAGTTGGGTTTTAACTTCTGTCATATGGAGATATTGTCCTGAGTAATCCCAATTCTTTGCTAGGCAATGTTGGTTTTTCATCAGATCCCTGGAACTTAAAAGAATTTTCAGAGTACTATCAGATTAAAATGAGATATATTCATAAGGGAAAGAAAAAGGTAAGACTGAATAGATTTCAAGACTTCGAGTAAGAAGATATTGATTGGCTAATGAATATAATGAATAAAAGAGTAGAGGCAATCTCTTAATTGGTTACAACTAAAAGAGCCTCAAAATTCAAGAATAAAGACCAGACTATAAATCTAATTAAATCTGGAGAACTTTTTAAGCCAAAATAAGCATTAGAATTGGGACTTATTGATGAATTAACGAATCCTGATGAGTACGTTTTGAAAACATATGGGAAGGAAGTATATATTGATGTGCCTCAGTAAAATTGGAAATAAAAGATTGGATTATAAACTTTTGCAAACAATATAATTAGTACAGATAATTCAGACCTTGATTTGAATGAAATTGAGAACTTTGATGAGCAAATAAGAAATTTAATGATGAATTATTGCATCGAAAATGGTCTCAGAGCAAATATTCCTCTAAATATTTGAAGCGAAATCAAATATCAAAATGAAGGAGTGTTTAATGATGATTAATCATAAATTTAGTAAAGAAACAAATAAGAATTTATAACTTATAATATAATTTTAATTAAAGATAAAATATGAAGAAGCCTGGCAAGACTCTCGAACTCACTACAACTACCTAAATTGAATCATGGAGACAACGTTTGGCTGTAAAATAAAAATAAAAAATCTTTGCTTTTAGGTTGAAGATAGAGTTGCTAAGACTAAAGATCATCAATAGTTGGAAAAACTACAAGATCTACTGACTGAGAAGAACACTTATATGAATTATTATAAAACTGAAGATGTCAAAACTCAAGAGAGATTATGCGAGCATACCAAGACTAGAGTAAGATTGTGCAGATTTGATGATAATGATAGTTTGCCTATGATTAAAGCAAGGGAGAAGAAGACAATGATTATTGCAAAAAGTGCAAATACGAAAGCAAATGGTGCAAGCACAGATAAGAGAGAGAAGTTGCTAAATAAAAGCTAGGAGCAGCTATCACAACGTAACTCATTTCTAATAATAGCTTATATCTTTATGTAATAGTACGCAATCGTATGGATGGAGAGAACCCTATGATAATCTTACATTTGGTTACAACAAAAGTGGTATTTGCAAAAGAACTTTCCATGACTCTGGACATCTTTAATGAAATGCTGGAGAATTCAAAGAATTTGCATAAATATATAAATTTTTATAATGGGCTTACAAACATTTAAATTATATTTATATTCTCAAATATTTTTAGTTCATTCACTAATACTACTTCTTATTTATTAAAGTTAAGGAATTAATTAACATACTTCTCGTATATCTGTCCTACAAATACTTCGATTCCCAATTTTACTGAGTGCTGTCTAGTTGGGTTAGGACAGGGTCTCTTGGGCTTTCTATTGTTACTTTAGCCTTAGGCAACTGGCTTACCTCTACTTTTATCCTTTTTAGCTCCTTAACCAATGCTTTTAGATCTTTATTTAGGGGCATCATCAACAAGAAGAGTCTCTAATAAAAGACTCTCTGGCAGTAGGAAGTACCTAATGTTGTTTTCTCTAATAGTCAAATGCTCAATTGCAATAGTTTCTCTCCCTTTCACAGTTAGTTTAACTGCCTTCAAATGAGTATTCATCTACAAATCAACACCTATATAAGTGAGTGAGCTATCTAATACTTACCAGTAACGATACTAACGACGATTGTTCCTTTTTTAAGCTCAATTGTGAAGGTCTCATTGTTTAATTTCATGAGAAAGCGTACTAACTTCATTTTAGATTAATATTATTTAACTCATTAATTATTTATAATTATTATAATCCCTCATCTTATAATTCATTAATAGATGAAGAAAGTCAGATTCCAAGATAACCTTGACTCCCTTGATTTCTCCAAGAATTCAGATCCAGTTAAAAAAATGTGAGAATTCTATTAATAAATTGTAAATTTAGAGAGAGCATTTAGATTAGTCTGTTAGCAGCCTAGGATCCTCAAAAATTAAGTTAAATACCTATTTATAACAGAAATATTTATTCGATTGACAAACTATCTCAGCCACAAAGAGGTGGTCCCCTATATCTAAGAATGGGAATTAGTGAAAGAGGTAAGAACTGAAAAACTTGCAAAAAGGCTCTAGCAGATTGTCCGGGACATTTCGGTTATGTTAAGCTAAAATTACCAGTATTTCACGTAGGATACTTCAAGCACTCTGTGAATATCTTATAAGTAGTATGCAAAGAGTGCAGCAATGTCCTTAAATCCAGATAAGATAAATTTATCAAGTAGGTGAGATCTAAAACTGATCCACACTAGAAACTAGCAATTTGGAAGACAATCATTACCAAGTGCAAGAAAGTTAAGAAATGCCCTCATTGCCAAGCACACAACGGCAATGTAAAGAAAATGCCTAATTTCCCAGCAAGAATAATTCATGATAAATACAAGAGCTTGAAAGGGACAGATTAAGATGAGTTAATCTAAGACTTTGCCCATGTTTTCACACTGAACAATAATATCGAAAGCAGTTTAAGATAATCTTATGAAGAGCTTGATCCTCAGAAAGTCTAAAATATCTTTCAGAGGATTAAAGACTAAGATGCCGTAATTTATTTATGGATTAAAATCTCTGCAACCCAATTGATTTGCTGATCACTCATATTCCTGCTCCTCTAGTTCCCAGTAGACCCTCAATTGCTGTTTCATCAAGTACAACAAATGAAGATGATTTAAATGTCAAGATGGCTGAAATTATCTAACTTAATAATTTGATAAAGATCAGTATAGATGAAGGAAAAGCTCCTAATAAACTTACTGAAGATTGGATTTTATTGCAATACACAAATGCATAATATTTCAATAGTGAAACACCTGGACTACCTCATTACTTATTGGGAAACAAATAAATCAGAGCTCTTAGTCAAAGATTGAAAGGAAAGCATGGTAGATTATTCAGGTAAAACTTGCCAGGAAAAAATAGTAGACTTCACAGGAAAAACTGTCATCTCTCCAGTTCTTAATTGTGGAATTGACAAGGTTATTATTCCAATTTACATCGCTAAGAATCTTACTTTCCCAGAAAGAATGAATCAATATAACATTGAAAAGCTAAGAAACCTCGTGAGAGTTGTTCCATATGTGCATCCTGGTGCTAACTACATAGAATCATTAGATGGAAATAAATTTTTACTTAAATATGCTAAAAGCAGAAAACTGCTGAGGAACTCCAAATCGGAGATATTGCCGAAAGGCATCTGAAAAATGGCGATGTTGTGCTTTTCAATAGAAAACCCAGTCTTCACAGAGACTCAATTATAGCTCATAAAGCTAGAGTAATGCCTTCATGAACTCTAAGGTTCAATGAGTGTGTATGCACACCTTATAATGCGGATTTTGATGGTGATGAGATGTATATTCATTTACCTTAATCTGAGGAGGCAAAAGCAGAAGCTAGAATCCTAATGGATGTCAATTAGAAATTATTGATTACCAGATCAGGAGAACCTTTGATTGCTCCTACACAAGATTTTCTAACTTCTAGTTCTTATCATGTAAAAATATTACTTTCTTAATAGAAATGAATTCATGAGAATATGCGCTTATTTCTGGGATGCTAATGAGAGATTTGAGATTCCTCCTCCAACAAAACAATATATAAGCCTGTTGAATAATGGACTGAAAAACAAATCTTTAACTTACTTTTAAGACCTAATAGAAAAAGCAATGTTTATGTAAACACATTGGTTTAGGAATGAAATTACACAGGATAAGGAGAACAAATGTGTCCAAATGATGGTTGGATCGTTTTCTAAAACTCTGAGCTTATTTTAGGATATTTGTGTAAGACAACGATGGAAAGTTGATAAAAAACAGGATTGCTTTATCTCTTGTAGAGAGATAAATCAGCTGAAGTTGATGTTTAATGAATGTTAAGAGTTGCAAAATTCTCAGCAAGATAGATATTTAATTATGGAATGTCAATCGGAATCAGCGATATTACATCATTTGAGGTGCATATTCAAGAGAAATAAAAGATTTTAGATGCAGGCTATGTAAATTATGAAAAACTTATTGATTAATATAAAAAGGGAAATCTTGTTCTCAAAGCAGGTTGCAATCCTGAACAGACTTTAGAGTCCTTCTTAAATGGAGAGCTAAGCAAAATCAGAGATAAGGCAGTTGAAATTTTTAAAAGTAAACTTCCAAAGTATAACTCTTTTTGATTATAGAGAAATGTGGTTCTAAAGGTTCAAATATAATCAACAGCTTGCTAGAAAAATAATAAATAACATTATTTATTTAAAATTAATTTCCATTAATTTTTTATTTTCTTTCATTCCACCTAGAATTACTCTTATGGGGTTTTGGGGTTTTGGGG